TGCGCCGGCTGGCGCGGGGAGCGACATTCCCGCTCGGAGAGGGCAGGGAGACGTGGGCAGGAGTGGCAGAAATGCAGGCGGCCGTGCTCGTCCTCCGGCATCGCAGCTTCGGAGCTGTCCCTCTCCCGGCTGAACCATCACTGATGGCTGAGTGTCATGGCTGGGTCCATCACTTCACCTGCTCCATCATGGGGAAATCACGCCTTTCCGCAGGCATCCGGGATGTTTCCTGCACATCTTGGCACCAGCAGAGCCTGTGACCGTCACTCGCCGGTTTAAATGTCACCCTCATGAACCCGCCTTTGCGGCCACAGCCACAGCTCACGCCTGCTCTGTGCCCCCCATTGCCAGGGCTGGGGGGTCCCGGGCTCCGGGCTCATCCCTGTGCTGGGTGGCTGGGACCAGTGCAGGGGTCAGCATCGTGGCCAGGCTCTGCCCAAGGGGGCTGAGGGTCTCACCCCGTCCCCCCAACGCTGCAAACCGGAGGCAATGAGAGACTTGTTAGAGAAAGGTGTGAGGAGCAGGCGGGGAGGAGGAAGTCATCTAACACCAAGCAGGTGTCTGGAGAACCCAAATTGTGCTGTTTTCTCCTAATAATGAAGTATTCATGAGTAAAAGCCTTTTTCACTACTTTCTTAAGATACTAATTTCACAACAAGCGCCTTGTTACCATGCAATTATTCCAATCGTGCATTTCTCCCAGATTCCATCTGTCCTCGCGCTCTCTAAATGAAAGACAATCATGTAACCACCTTTCATTATTCACTATTTTACTTTCAGCAAAGGTACCCTGAAAGAAATGATTTCCTCTGAAAGGGACTTTTATTCAGTTTCAAAACCAATTTTCTCCTATTACTGTCTTAAAAAAAAAAGAGGAGGGGGGCAGGGAGGTGTTTTTATTTCATGCATTACATATCCTTTGTTAACGCAGCTCGCAGTAAAAGCAGCCGTATCCATTTTCTGGCTTCGATTTCTGGTAATTTTAAAATATGCCATTACAATCAGGCAGAAATTATACAGTTTGAAAAGAGGATGAAGTGCTTCTTATTCAGAGGCTGAGCGCACTTGACTGCCAGGGAGCTCGCCTCTCCCCGC